GCCTAATGCGCGGCCTTTGTGCCGCTGTGTGAGTGGGCCCTCTTGAGGAAAATTATGTGCATGTTTTTTGCTAAAGGTGACATTTCCTCGCTGGGATCCGTGAAATAATGGAGTGGATAAAGCTGCGGCGCATCCACTTTCTGACTCAGAGCAGGGCAGAGGAGTGGAGTGGAGCGTAGAGACCCGTTTGGTCTGTGCCAAAGCTATCTGCTAATGGAGTTTGGCTGCACCGCCTCACATGCATTTCTAGTATAGCATTTATTCATTAAGGAGCTGCAGTTCTCTCATTTCAAATAAAAAAACGCAGGGAGAAAAGACGAGCATTAAACAGGGAGGTCTGGTGTCAAGGACGAACGATGAAAAAAGGGAAGTACTGTACAGAGAGGGTGTGTGTGTGTGTGTGCCTGTGTGTGTTCAGGTGCACCTGTGTGTGCAGTTATAGCTGCTGACAGAGGGAGGGAGCCAGCTAATTTTAGTTCACGTGGAAGGAGGAGGGAGGGAGGTGGGAGTAGAAGGGTTTGATGAGCAGAAGCGTTGTCACGGAGCTGAAATCCCCGTGCACGAAAAAAAAAACACACACACAAACCAGGCTCCAAGCGGGGGTGGATGACAGACTGACAGGACCCAGGCAGACAAGCCCCATCGATCAAAACCACAGTGGCCTTAGTTTATTGATCAAACAGCATGGAGACCTGAGGAGTGGGAGAGCAGGAGACAGAGGAGGAACAGTGAGAGGAGAGAGTCGGTGAAGAAAAAGGCATAAATTAAGAGATGAGACTCAGAGATACGGAGGCTGAGAGACAGCAGAGGGATCGGTGGAAATCACAGACTCCCAGAAATTGTATCAGCCTACAGCCGTTGTCATGCAGACAAAGTCAGAGCTTCTACGCACCAAGGTCAACCCAGAGTTCCCAGTAGAATTCCCCTTTGTTTCATTTGTCTAGAGATTTGACAAGTGGCTGCCAAAATAATCGCAAAGAATTCGGTTTCTATCAAACACAAATGTCCAAAAAAAATTAAAAACAATAAAGTATCAAATTAAAAAGAGCAAGTCAGATGGTGAGACGTGTAAGTGTTCAAAAATGGCGGCATCATTCTTTAAGTAAATAGTCGGACGTAATCGTTCTCTCATTGTCGTAGCTAATGTTACGTTGGCGTAACATTTCTTGGGCCAGTGTTGTGTTGAAGACCCGGAGGTTTTCCCAGCACAGTGGCTTCTCATTGTTGACATTGTTGAAATGAAACGTTGTGTTACATCATACTGACATCTAGTTGGTGGTTCATGGACCAATAGTAGCCCGTGGGCCAGGAGTTGGAGATCCCTGATCTATATTAAATCTGTATGGCAGGTGATGAGGACGTAGTTGACAAATGACTAAAACCAGAGTAGAAATGACAACATCTCCTAACAGACCGTACAGGTGTGTACTGGCTCTGTTCAAAGGTCTGTGTTTCCATTGGTCGTTGGCAGAGAACCCACCTTATCTGTGAGTTGTCGGACCGAAGGTAGAAAGTGGAGAAAAAACTCAAACACTTACGAACTGCACAAAAGAAGGTGAAAAAAAAGAAACCGAGGTTAAAGCTGTTCTGGTGGTTACGGAGCGCCAGTGTAAGATAGCACTGAGCCACACCGCTAAAAATACACCAGACAGAATAAGAAATTTCCTGTTGGGCTGAAAATAGAAGAGTGTGAAGCAGCGTGATCATCAGTTGTAGTTTTCACACTGGTCTTCTGGTTCAACGTTGCCTGTCTGTGGATTTAAGCTCTCTGTTGTAGTCCTTTTGTGTGTCGTTATTGTGGCTGCGATGATCAGATGACTGTGACTCTGAGTGAATGACGACTAAAGCTGTCAGTGTTTACTGACTCCTTTAAGTGACAATGCTCTGGTTTCTCTGCTTCAGTGAGACAGCACCACTGAAGGATTTTCTTCATCGGGAAATTAAGGAAACACAGATCACTCCCGCAGGTCATTCGTTGATATCCGGACGATTCATTGATATCCGTTATCTGTGGCATTTTTACCCCGCGCTTCCTTCACAAACGTACAAGAAAGCTGACATGGTCATGGTGTGAAGGGTCAGATCAGAGATTTCTCAGTCCAGTCTCATTTCTCTTTGTCAGCTCTTCTTGTTATTTCTCACCTCTTAGAATTTGGTTCAAGTCGTGACAGAAATCGACTTCTTTCAAAACTAAGTTTTTTTTTTCCCACAACGCTGTCAGAAATAATATTTTTGGAGCGTACAAAAAGTTAGCTTTTACGCTAGACTTTTGTCACTAGACTAACATTCACCTTAGTTCTTAAATCTGTATATTTAATCTCCACAGCCTGATCATGCAGTACCCAGTGGATGTTATAGACACTGTCTGTTGAAGTGTACATTTAATTTAGTTGAGTTCAAATTAACTATGAACAACAGAGCTTTTAATATGTCCAAACAAGAGTCAGATTGATCTTATTAAACTATGTTAGTGTCGGTTTTTTACTAAGTGAGTATACAGTAGGTAAGTCTCTCTCTCTCTCTCTCTCTCTCTCTCTCTCTGTGTGTGTCTGACAGAGCGCAGGCCTAAGCAGAAATCCCTTTGCAGCACTCACTGCCAACTCCAACCACACTTCTTCAAAGTGACTGAAGGCCTCATTAAAGCTTGGACTTAAAAAGAACTCACATAAGCACATGAGTTGTGAGAGCAAATTTGACAATTTTACAGTTTTGCTGCTGCACTGCTGTAGTTCAATATTAATAAGAGTTTTAACAAGTCTACAATTTTTTAAATATATATATTTTATTTTCAAAGCCTTTAACGCGTCCTGTCACGATGCATGAAAGAAAGGCTTTGATGATAGAAATCCAAAGAAGAAACATTTGTCTGAGAGTCTTCAGTAGTCGGAAAACATGTTTATTTAGGCTGGATTAAAATAAACATTCAAACAAGGTAAAACTAATTTAAAGTTGAACTTTTAATAAAGTTGATTTTAAGGTAACCAATAAAAGCTAAAAAATAACTCAAAGATGTTTCAAATGAACCTGTAATATTAGCTTAAAGCTAAAGCTCTAGATAAAGATCAACAGACATAGCATAAATGGCTAGTTGTGTTAGCACAAAACTAAAAACTATAAACATACTAAAGATGCAAAATGGACAGGAAATGTCCTTTTTTTTAAAGAAAAAAAAATCATGTATTAAAACTGTTGGATTGAATATATTTTGCGGCACTGGCAGATCAGTAGATTTTACTGTTCCCAGAATATTTGCACAAACGCGAAAATGAAAGTATAAGTATTCCCTGATAAGACACTCTCATACGTCGCACAGACTTATAGCTAGAGACTGACTCAGGAACTCAGGAGACACTCCCTGAATCCCCATTTATTTTAAACTCCTTGAATGATATTATCTCCAAGCTGGCAATGCAATTACACAGGCGCGGCCATCAATAGTGGGATCCAGCAGTGCAAGCATGACAGAAATCCACTTATTCCATCTGGTATTGATGTCAATTTACTGTTTCATTACGGCCGCAGCTCAGAAAGTGGCTCCTGATCACCACCGAGGAACATCTTAAAGCAAGTTTAGAGCCACAGCAGACGAACAACGCAGCCAGATGTGATGCAGTATCATGAAGTATCACACACACACACACACACACACACACACACACAGCAGTAGATGTAGAGGCGTGAGGACGTGGTACGGATGAATATGTGTGAGCCTCGGGAGGTAACACTGAGTGGAGAGAAAGTAGATCCCTATGGGACGTCGTGCTGACGCATCTGCTGCTAATGCTACTGCTAATGCTGCTGCTAATGCTGCTGCCAGCTATTACTCCAGTGGTTTTCAAACAGTTTGAATTTATTTTGAAGTGAGTTGTTGGGTAGTTTTGATAAACTAACTAGTATTTTTATTCCTGGAGTTGTCATTTATGCGTGACTTTAGCCACACCGCTGTACTCAGTACACCGATGTTTAGAAGTACGCAGGTTTTTACTCTCTAAAGCAGTGGTCCCCGACCTGTTTTTGTACCATGGACCAGTTGGCCCAGCTATTACTGCGGACCAGTATTACCCCCGCCACTGTTGAAGGATCTTGGAATTTTCTAAATAAAACATCTTTTAGTCTGTTAGTCTCAGAGTCTGAATGACCTCTTGTTTTGAAACATCGACAGTTTATCTTTAAAAGTATTTTTGATAGGACTGGATTCTTTTTCAATGAAGTAAATTAGTGAAACTGAAGTACATTTTTTTCACTGTGTCCCTCGCCTGGTACCAAATGACCTACCATTAGGTCCCCTAACCAGGGGTTGGGAACCCTTGTTCTAAAGCGTTTTTAGGAAACGTATTACTTATCTTGTACTTGTTGGTTTTAATAAAACACAGGACGTGCATCTCACAGAACAGAACTATTTCCCAAAATAGTTTCTTCGATCAGTGCTCGAGTAATTAAGATTAGAATTGAACCCTGTTTCAGCTGCTGCCCCCTGGATTATCATCAAACAATAATCAACTTCAGCTAACGTCATCTTGACAGTGGAGACACGACACCGTGCACAGTCAAAACCTCCTCCAGTCCCACTGCAGTATCTCTGCATCACGTCCTACACCGTGAGGCTCCGTAGTCTCTGTGCTCCGTCCCTCGGGGTCCAGAGGACTCTGTCTCCTCCAGGGTTTGCCGCAGCTGCTAAAGTTGATAAATGAGGTAGGGCTGGACTGTTTTGGGGGCTGAAAATTAGAAACTGTTCCGCTGTGAATGGTATTGATTAGGGAAATGTCTGCGTCAGGTGAAACACTTGGAGCCTCACCAAATCCATTCTCTTTAATTTGTTCTCTGCCTCACGGTTTGGCCATGAACACAGATGGCGCTCTGGCATCCCAGCGCTGTCAATGTTTATCTCCTCTTTTTCTGTTTTGATCTGTTTTTACTAAAACTATAATTATCTTCCTTCACCCCCTCCTCTACCCCCCCCTCCCCCTCTCCTGTCGCCCTTTTACCCTCCTTCATCACAGGTTTATCACTGTCTTCAGCCTGAGGGGGCAGAATGCCGGAGCAGAGCAACGATTATCGTGTGGTGGTGTTTGGGGCAGGGGGAGTTGGGAAGAGCTCCCTGGTCCTACGCTTCGTAAAAGGCACCTTCAGGGACACCTACATCCCTACAGTAGAGGACACCTACCGCCAGGTGATCAGCTGTGATAAGAGCGTGTGCACGCTGCAAATCACCGACACCACAGGGAGCCATCAGTTCCCTGCCATGCAGCGTCTCTCCATCTCCAAAGGCCACGCCTTCATCCTGGTCTATTCCATCACGAGCAAACAGTCCCTGGAGGAGCTCAAACCCATTTATCAACAGGTAGAGAGAGAGTGTGTGTACGTGTGTGTGTGTGTGTGTTGAATGTCAGCTCTAATGGAGACTGTCAGTGTTTGTGTTTGTGCTTTAAATCTCTCTGTATTTGGGACATTACAAGAAAAGATATGATTAATATATGATTAATATTTAAAATAATTACAATTTAAAAAAATCAGGAAAAGTGAGATCAAAATTCTTGAACCACTTTTTGTATTCTGTTTTATTCATACATTTTTTGATACAAGAAAGTATTGTTATTAAATTGTCTATTTTTTATACAACATTTTTAGTATTAGCTAGTATTGTTTTTAACTAAAATTCTCTTTGTTTAATTGTCATTTTAATAGAAAAACACTAAAGAGAGTCTGTGTGTTGGTTCACTAATATAGACTCTCTCGGTCTACAGGACCATCAGTGAATATAGAGATGAAAGCCGACAGTATTGATTTGATGTCTCTCTGCCACTGCAGGTTCTGGCCATTAAAGGCAACGTCGAGGCCATTCCCATCATGCTCGTGGGTAACAAGAGTGACGAGACCCAGCGGGAGGTGGACACCAAGGACGGAGAGGCTCAGGCCAACCAGTGGAAGTGCGCCTTCATGGAGACGTCAGCCAAGACCAACCACAACGTAACTGAGCTCTTTCAGGAGCTTCTCAACCTGGACAAGAAGAGGAACATGAGCCTCAACATTGACGGCAAGCGTTCAGGGAAGCAGTCCCGTGCCGAGAGACTGAAGGGCAAGTGCAGCGTGATGTAAATCCAGAAAAGGAAAATGTGAAGATGAGGAAAGGTGGAAAAGAGAGGAGGCAGAACAGAAAAAAAAAGACAGACTCAAGAAACAGGTCAATCAGAGCAAAACATCCGAACGGCGACAGGCGTCTCATCACCGACACATCTGCCTGTAACTTTCATACCGGACACATTTCATATCACAGCGCTGAATCACGTGCATCCTACTTATCACATTATTTGGAGAAGCTTTTGTCTTACAGTTAACCCCGGGGACCGGCCAACCTTTGCGGGAGACGGTTTCGGTGTGGACATTTGAATCATCCGAGGGCCATGTATGCTAGCTGACGATTTCAGCAAAGACCTTCGACAGCTGCAGCCCTTAGAAAGGTTGGAGGTTTCCACGAAACATTAGCCCCGTCCTTTACATACCTCCTGTTATAACAGTCGTAGAGAAGTGTGGTGTAAATGTCATCTTGAGATTGAAACTGAAGTATCTGTTTCATACTAGAAGAGACAGGACGGAACGGTCTCGAGACTGCTTGCAAAAAACAAAAAAACAAAACAAAAGAACGGCAGCAAAATACAGCACCCAGCCACAGCCCAGAGCCACGCCTACGGACTCTGATGTATATAAACATGGAATATTTGATTTATTTCCTCTAAACCACTAAACATGTCCCGCCCCAACTATTGTATCAGTCAAAAAAGGTTTGTTGTAAATTTTAACGCATATACATGGCTAGAGGATGTATTCACTAATTTTCACAGCTCATAATCAAATCTCCTAAAATTTAGAAATGACTTTTCTTAACATTTGTCGTTACATGGAAGCTAACAAGCAACCCCTTTTAAAAGGCCTCATAGTGGTGAGGTAACTGGCGCAGGGCATACAGAACATACGACTCCGACTCAAAGCAGTGATGCTGTAGTGACGCAAAACAACAACTGTGTTTCCAACCAAACTGAAAACATGGAACAGAAATACACGTTTGCCTCGGAGATGCGTATTTCATTGTCATTCATTGCCGAGCTGGTAAGACAAAGGCAGACCGGGCGGCTTTTTCGGTTGCGTGATGGAGCATATGAGTTTGCTAATGGCATTTTTAATGTGATTTTTTTTTTCTTTTGTCTTTGCCATTTTATTTATGCTGTTTTGAAAACATGCCAGGTAAAAAAAGAAAAAGCACAGAAAAAAATTAAGAATGAAATGGATGTAGAAAACAAAATCTTCCCTTTCTTTTCTTTCTTTTTTTTTTTTTTTTTTTTTTTTTTGGTGTGAGCTGAATCAGTTATTCTGTTTCCTTTTCGGCTGCTTCAGTCACATGACACTCTCCTAACACCCCGGCATCTGGAAACAGACTGGGTCTCACACATTCACACGCATGGTTGCAGTTGTCATTTACATGAAGTTAACCAGGGCTCACCTCACCTCTAAGTCCTCACGGTGCACTTTATGTCGTGCAATATATACAAACATACATATATAAATATATATATGTATGTATATATACACACAACAACAATTTGCCATGCTCTTGTTTGAGTTGTGTATCTATCCAAACGCACACACTGCTTTTCTCACTATTTTCTCATGCAAGAGCTCTGACAAATTGTACACAGTGTACACAGGACAGTCAAAAGCACAATACTTTTTACAAACATATCTTGTTTGTTTGTGTGTGTGTGTGTGTGTGTGTGTGAATTAATTTCTTGTACATACTAGTTTGGCTTTCTTTTTGTCCTGTTTGCGATTTCCATCCTAAACCTACGTCGACGTGAACGTGAAAAAACAACCGCGCCGTAGGTGCGATGTACAGACGACTGTCGAAATGTCTTACTTGTCCGACGCCAGTGGCACAACGACGTCGCGGTTCTGAACAACAACAGGGTATCACGGCATGACCCTTTAGCTGCGTCTGTGGGTGCGTGTGGTTGTGATGTCACCTTTACCGAGTGATTGCCTGGTCATGAGGGACGCGTTGAGTAGGAAGTGTTTTTTTGGATGATCTGCTGGTGTACTGTTTAAGGGTGAATACAACAGGTTCCAACACACACTGCAGTTGTTTTGTGGCCTCAGAGAACGACTGTATGAATGTTTAGCATAGAGTTGTTTTTAAACTCATTTGAAAGAATAGCTGGACTTTCACAGAGTGAAACTGTGCCAGGCTTTTCAGCCTAAGATGCTTAAAATATTATTACATCTGCTATGTCTCATGAACTAGTTCCCAAATAGGCATCACTGTGAATATGTATACTCTACGTGTAGAAATAGCCCAACTTTTTGGGGTTTTAACCCCAATTTGACATCACAAATATCTGGCGACCACAGAGACTTTTTTTATAGAATTGGTTTTCGATCATGTATGTTATTCTGTGAGTAGCTGGATCAGACCCCAAAGTGATGTTTTATTTTTCCAGACCACAAATGGTCAGCGCTCCTCATGTTAGTCCACCTTGAATTCTCCCTCAGCTGATCTTTGAACAGCAGTGAAAATTTACCAACAGCAATTAATGCAACAAAAACGAGGAGCATTTATTTCATAATGAATGACTGAAACACGCAGATTGGTGCCTTGCAATGAACCGGTTCATGTGGGCAGCACTTGGAATGATGTTAGCATCGTGCAGTACAGTTCTAAGTGTCTTCCTCTACAGGTTTGCTTTATATCAGTTGGCTGTAGAGTCTTGGTCTTTCATGGACCATGTTTATTCTATCATTTGTAACATGTGACCCTTAACAACAGCATTGTGTTTTGAAACCTGTTGGATGATTCCTTTAAACCCAAAGATAGAGTGGACGTCTATTTTATCTGTGTGTCAATTACGGAGAAGAAAAAGCACAGCAACTGTTTCTGTCTGTCTTGTCTGTCTTTTTGTGTACAGCAGGATCACCAACAGGGCACTTTAGGGTGGGATTTTACTTGAACACCTGCTTATTAAACGGCGTCGACTAATTTACGATAATTGTGAATTTCTCCCCTTGTTCACCACCGAAAACAAATTCACACTGTAAATAAAATAAATATGGTAAATTTAAAAGCTTCAAGTAGGATGTTGCCCATGTACTCGCTGTCTTTCTGGGAGTATGTCCTTTGTAACCAGGAAATGTTGTTACAGTAGGAGGTTCAATGTTACTATAATATACTGTAATATACAGATTCATTATGATACTCATGATATAATTGTACTGGACATATCCTCTCCTTGGATCTTTAATTCTGGATAAGATGAGAAAAATGTGAATATGTAACTACAGGTTCCACTTCATGGCTCGTTCTCTTCATTTCTAAGTTGTTCCAGCCGCGTTGTTCTTTGCACTAAAGTGAGGTCCCGTCAAACTCGGACATTTGAAACATACCCTTTACTCTTTAGACACCAGGGATGCTGGTCCATTCATTCATTCTCTTTCAGTTTTTGTCCATCACTAATGTCTTGTAGTTTGTCTCGGCATGTGTTTGCTTGTTTTCGATTGATTCAAATCTGCTTGAGGAGGCTGCACTGAACCTCAAAACGGGGGAGGGGACAAAAAAAAAAGAAAAGAAAAATAATATATACGAGCCACCTCTGGTGTGAGCTGATGAGTAACTACCGGCAGCGGCTGCATAAATATCAGCTTGACACGTGTGACTGTGATCACGCAAATGCCAGATTGCGAGCGCATGTTTGTGCAATCTGTTGCTCTGACGTGTATGGGAAAGGGTTGTTGCTCATGTTCCTGTGTGGAAAGGGATAGAGTTTGGTGAAATAAACATTGAGGCAGTGCGGACAACAGGCTGCGTCATGGGGGGAAGAGGAGCTGTGTGCTGTGACCGAGGTCTGACAGAGGGAGTAGTACGGCGTCCATGTGGACGGTCTGAGCGTTGACTGAGGTTCTGTGCTGTGTGAGTCAAACACAGGCATGAATCAGAACCCACCCCCATGACCCACCCCCGCCCCATCACTCCCATGGTCTGTCTCATCTCATTTATCAATGAAGCATATTCATTGCGTGCTGCAGCTACATCTGTTAGTGTTTGTTCGTTTGTGTTTCACCCATTTTGTTTTCTCACCGCAGCCTACATGAGTGTGTGTGTGTGTGTGTGCATGCATCTTTGTGAACTGTTGTTTGTCTCCACATGGCGTGTTATGACGTATCTGTCAGATATTTGAAGCATTTCCTGTGAAGAATGCCTACACATTCTGCATGAGTCATCTAGCTCTCACACACACATGCATGTGTCTGTATAGTTGTGAGGATGCACATATACACTCATTTGTCCTTGCCTATCTGAAATAATGCCTAGGCCTCTCACCTGTTTCCTAACCGTGGCTCTTGTTACACAGAGACAGCTTTTATGTGGCCAATATTTTTGAACCTAAATACACTTTAAGGGTCTGCTGGCAGGGTTTGACTTTGAATTTTTAATAGGGTTAGTTACTAAGATGTAAATTATATTTTTAGGGTCATCTTCCTAAATAGGTAATTAGCATTTGCCAGACTAAATAAGCTGGTTGAAATATATTGTGACCCTATGGAACATAGAGCCTGTTCACATTTGTATTTCACTTTCTTTGGTTTAAGCTTAAGGGGAATTATACATTTATTTTCTTTGGCTTGTAAAGACCAAGTCTTAGCCAACGGGTTGTTTAAACCTGACATTTTTATCACTGATACATGGACACCGTCTGCCTTTTCTTTTCTAGACACCTTTTAGAAATTCCTGGCATCGTTCTGCCTTTGATGGAGGTCATGACATTTCTGTCAGCATACACTTTGCTTGTTTCACTCTGTGGAGTCTGACTGTAACATTTGGTGACACTGCTGTCTCCAGGTTTTTATCATGTCTGGTTCTCCATGTAGGGTTTGCTAATCAAGAAAAAAATATTAATGTAATTTAACACTGAGGTGCATGTGTGTGTATCCTAAAATGTTCCAACGAACCAAATTGGGGAAGCAAACACAAGTTTTTTAACCAAAAACAAAATTAGCAAACCTGAAAACACCTTTTTTTTTTTCAATATTCTTAAGTACCACAGGAGGCGCAGTTGCCCTACTTTTGTTAGTTAATGAATCTGGTCTTTCATATAAATATTTCTGTCACTTATGTACTTCCCAAACCTAAAACCTTCAATAGAATTTTTTAAAAAGTATCTTTTTACAAGGACCATTTAAAATGTCCCCACAAACCAAGAGGTCTTTGGTTGGCAGGACAACGGTCTTCACAAAGCTATAAAACAAGTATATAGGCGACATTGACAGACTGCATGCCTTCAGTTACTCATCCTCACACTTCCATCCATGGTCTTAATCACTGGCTGCGTTCCAACTCTGCCCTATCACACAGACACATCTTGTCTGTGCGCTGTCTCTCCAAAGTTTCCACACACACACACACACACAGAAAGTGAGTCTCCTTCACATCGGTCCCTCATTTGTCTTTGAGTCAGCTGCTCCTGAACAGACTGGAGGTCGACTCCGCTCATAGTTGACTGTAGATAGCTGTAAATAGTGTTTAAAGGACTAAATATATCAGAGATGTAAGAGGAGAGCGTGCATACAAAGGAAGCTGCGGAAGAAGGTGCCTGCATTTTATTTATTATTGTCCCTTTTTAAAGTTACACAGTAAAAAAAAAGAAAAAAACCCCACACACTTTACTTCAGCCTGTGTCATCTTCAGCAGCTACTGTAAAGTAGTTAAAAACATCTTTGGGTGGTTTTCAAAATGCTAAGTAAACAAATAATTGATCTAAAAAAACCCAAACAATAAATTCATGGAGACCTTAAGTGCCCAATATAAAATGAATGGAAAAAGATGTCGTAAAATGTTCTGAAATAATCCAATAAATCTTCATACTTCATCCCCCTGTTCTTGTTCTTCAAGCCATTATTATTTCACTGCTGTTATTTTTTTAAATGATTTTTAACTTTTTTTTTACCTTGTTTTTTTATACCATTTGGAAAAAAAAAATACCTGGCAACGCCAATTATGTGACAGTGTTGAATCAGACAGAAGTGGCAGCCAATTGTGTAACACAATGTTCTCAGTTTGTTCTCATCCAAAGTCACCGTTGGGTTAGGAAACTGATCTGGAATGGAAATCTGAAATAAATTGAATAAAACAAAAATGATGGAAATGAAAGGAAATTCACTTTGACGATGATTTTAATGAAAGGCCACTTGGTTAGACTGTGTCCTTTATGTGACGACCAATTAAAAACACAATCAAACCAGAGGGCTTTCCAGTTTTCCACCTTCATGTTTTGACCAAGGAAATCACTCATTGAAGGACATAAAAAAACCCTCAGCCTAAGTCACCTTCTGGCTCACCCCTTCACTTGCCACTATATTGGCTCAGAATCTTACACCGTGTTTCAGGGGCAAATAGAGTGGGCACACACAGATTGATGGGATATAAAGTTTGGTTCTATCCAGTTGCTCTGGCTCTTCACTCCTGCATGGTCCCTATAGGTGTTTTAGCCAGCATGAGAACAAGGAAACAAACTGTGAATCATCTTTGTATTTGCTAAAATAAATTCCTCAAAAAACATTTTTGGCATTGGTTTCACATATGGTTCCTATTTCTTTTTCACATTCTTCTTTTTTTTTTTTTTTTTTTTGTAAATTATCAAATTCATTCCTTTCCTTTCTGTTGGAACTTTTTAATTTAATTAATTATGATGTATAGATATTTATTCTAGCAATAGTCTTCCTATTAAAATATACTGTGCTGATGCATCCTCTGAATAACTGAAAATTAACATATACATATATATATAATTACACACATATGGTAATTATATGTATATAAACAATAAGAATAATCAAATCTGCAAAATGATTTTGCTAATAAAAATGTGAACTGAAAACTGTTTTGCAGCTTTTTATTATTTGATATTTTAATGGTCTTTGGTTTTTTCATAATGAAAGTAAAAATGTCATCAGTAAAGAAGGATGAGTATGTGGTTTATGTAACCAAAGAAAAGGATATGAAAGGAGATGAGGAACTGTTTCCCTTTTGACAGTGAAACTTTGATCAGTGACTCACCCAGTTGAGTCATTCCATAGCCTCCTTATACTGGTCACAGAGTTAGCCTGTGGATTAGTCACTAGATACAGTAGGTTGGTTGGTGAACTGATTGGTCTGTACTGTAGGTATCAATAGTCAGGTCAACCAGTCAGTTTTTTTTAGGTTGGTTCATTGATTTGGTTAGTCGATAACTTGGTATGTAGACTGACTTATGTATGTCAGCGTGGTCAGTAGCTAGCTTTATATTCTAGAGTTGACCAGTGTTAACCAGAGATAATACATCAAACAGTCTGTCAACCAATGGGTTAGAACTCTAGGCTGGTTATTTGGTCGGATGGTTGATTGGTAACGAATGGCAAAGACTTAAAGTCTACGACTATAGAGATGAGTCAGACGTGGGTCGGGTGGTAGGTGCTGTCAGTTGATGAATCGATAGTTAGCTAGCAGGCTATCTTTGAACTGACAGCTACTGTTGGTAGATATTGTAGTTACTTATGCACAGTCAGTTGGATGGTCAATTCAGTGGTCAATAGTCAGGTAACAGATGGTGAATTAGTGGGTGCGTCAGCCAGTGGGAAGGTACAGTAGGTCAAAGTGTGTATCTGTGTAGTACTACGTTAACTAGTCAGAAATAAGTTAGTCATGGTCATTTTGTTGTGTGCACCTGGTATTAATCTTTTTGTACTAAATCCTAGCTGGTGTGTAAAGATACTGTAGGCGGGGTTGTTAAGCTGAAGGATGGTCGTCAGTTAGCAGTCAGTTAGCAGGCAGCTATGTCACTGGATCAGTAAATATTGCTGTTGTTGTTTTTCTTCTTCATGACTATTACAATTACTGTCAGAAGGAAGGAAACGAAAGAAGGAACATAATCAGTGAACAGCCAATATCTATGAGCCAGTAGATCACCCTCCACACTGACTGGTCCTCACTGGGTTCCATCTACAAACACAGCTAAAGCTGGAGAGAGAGAGAGAGAGAGAGAGAGAGCTGCTGAGTTCACAGCCTCCCACTCCTCTGTTCACTCCAACCCTCCAACATCTGCTCAGGGATGCTGTGCCTGGTGCTGTTGCTATGGAGATGGAATGACGTTGACAACGGTTGCTGCATCAGAGCATGGTGTGACCCTGGTGGGGAGTGAGATAAGTTATGACAAGCAGAGGTCTCCCAATCTGCTGCTGCTGCTGTAGAAAAAAGGAGAGGAAGGGAAGTCTCGTCCTGTAGGCTGGATGGGAGGATACGGGGGGGAGGGGGGGGGGGGGTTCATGGTAGCCCCCCTGGCCGAGAAGGAGATAATCTTGTCCAGACACACTTATGCCTCTGGAAGTCAGCATACGGAGGACAGCTCAGCACCAACCTCCCCGATCATGGGTTCTTTTTGAGTTAAAACTATTAAAACCAACTTTTAGAGAAAATGACTGGCTCAAAATACATGATTAGTTTAACAGTAGTTTGATTTATCACTTCTGTTCATCATCAGGGTTGATCAGTTGTATGTTTTAGCATGTATGTTTTTTTATGTATTAAATCCATTTTTTTACCACAGGTTTGAGGTTCATTTCCCGTTTCCACGGCATCGTTGAGTCGTGACCGTCTGCTTTCCACCACTCGTTTTTTTAGCAGCCAGTAACTTTCTCCTGGGTGAACTTCACTGCTTAGAAACCCTGTCGTAAGAAGTGATCTGCGTCGTTTCAAAGCTGCATCACTGTCAGAGCGAGAGCATCATCGCGTCGTGACTCATGGGCTTCCACTGCCTATTTCACAGAAAATGAAGAGGCCTGCTGTACTCCTCTTCCTCCTCAACACACTCACACTTATGACGATGGAGAGGGTGCGGAAAGGGGGAGAGGGGCAGAAATGGACGGAAGGAAGTGAGACGGATGGAGAAGGGAGGCGGTGAGAAAGGAGAGAGAGGGGGGAAAGTGAGCGAAAAAAGGTGAGAAGATGGAAGAGAACAGTATAGACATCAGCATAATTTCACACATCAGTGGAATCAGGGCCAGTGCAGGGCTACGTGCTATAAATGTAGCTTTCTCCTGGTTCAAATAAGCAGCCTGGAGAGGGAACGGTTTCCCTAACAGCCTTGGTAAAAGCTAGAGGCTGTAAAGGTGTGTCTGTGTCTCAGTGTGTGTGTGTGTGTGTGTGTTTAAAGCCACATTGTTTCTCAGCTCCTCCAGCGTCAGCAGCAAAGGTGACGTGTGTAAATCACTCGTTATCTCTCTCATCACAGCACCGTAATCAGCAGCAGCAGATGTGGCTCTGTGTGGAGGAGTGGACTGTACAGCTAACTGGAAACAAAACATGTGTGTTTGCTCTGGGCCTGCCAGGAATAGAAGGACGGCCCACGTTCCCAGGAGAGGGAGGACATACGTTTGGAGCAATGGCACCACCGTGTGGCAGCTGGAGGGGACTTCCATTTCATTTATAACCCAAGAAACGTTTTTTTACAAAAATAAATAAATAAAAAATCTCGTCCTGCAGACAGGAATAACAGAGCAAAGGTCATACGGGCGGTGTGGTTCTTATTTCAGATACAGTACTTTTTTAATCTAATGCAAGTCTACGGGCACCATGCTAATTCAGTTTAGTATCAGTAAATATTCTCAGTTTTGGCTGCAAGTACTGTAAATATTTTAGACCTAATTATCCGTAAAAATACACAGAAAAAATACTTTATTTCATCCTTTTACGTCAGCAGTCTACCTGGTTTATTCTAGTTCATCTGAATATCTGACAGAGTAAATGTGAGAATATTTTTGTATCGAATATTTTATTTTAGACAAAAGAAAAACCTTTAACACTTAATGACTTTCTTGAAACTTCTTGTTGAGTTGAGACGTTTTGTGCTGAAGGAAGGTAGTATGAATGTTGGACTTGGGGTTTTGGAGATGGAGTTGCCAACAGACCAGAGAAGATCTGTGGAAGTGGTGAAAGAGGACATGAAGACGGTTGGTGTAACAGGATAGGAGAGAAGAGACAGGGTGAGACGGAGGCAGATGATTGGCTGTGGCAGCTCTGGGAAGGAGCACCTGAGAGAAGAGGAGAAAGATCAGTGGTTCTCAAACTAATGTATATGTAACGTAAGATGTACCTGAGGGGTGGAGTTTGGCTGATAATCTTATTGGGAATGAAGTTCTTAACTGAACAGAGTAAACCTGAGGTACTGGTACTTTTGAGAGGTAGTTCTTGGTATGTTAGTATGGTTTGTTTGGACAAACCATACTATAGGGTCATTAAAGTACAAATAAAAAAACATTTAGAATATTATATACAATATAACAATATAAATATGACTATACAAGGGACCTGAGCAAGTTGAACAAAGACAAGTAAGTTGGAACACGTCTCTTAAAAATCCTGTTTTGTCAGGAAGTAGTCTGGTGATGCAGATCTGTGTGTAAATATGTAGATGTTTGTTTTGGGAGCCCCTGGATTAAAGCTGCTGTCACCGGATCAGATGGAAGGAGGGAGGAAGAGAGGGAGGAAGAGAGGGAGGTGGGCAGAAGGAGAGACGGAGGCAGGGAGGAAGAGACGAGGAGGGAGGAGGAGGAGGAGGAGGAGGAGGAGGGGGGTGGACAGACGCTGGTATTGGAGGGGGAGGCGTTTGGCTCGGTGAAGACGGGGAGTGAACGAGCAGAGAGGGTGAGGAACCAGCGGACCTGGCCCTTTAAATCACCAATACAACGCGTTTGGAGGTGAGTTTGGAAATATTCGGCTATTTTTTTTCCTCCCCGTGTGTAAGTGTGTGTCTGAGTGGATCATAATTGTACCGCGTCCGTGAGCCGCTGCAACCCCGGTGTCTCGTCACCGAGGGCGGCTTCAGCAGCAGCAGCAGCAGCAGGAGCAGAGGAGCGGAGGAGGGAGAGAGAGAGAGGGAGAGGGAGAGGGAGAGGGAGAGGGGGCTTCATCGGTTGTCACGAATCCGGATTTCCCCAGCCCTGTGCCGGCTCTGAGGGTGGGGAGGACCGGGGACGGGGTCAGCGGAAGATTTCTTACGTGGTTAGAGTGTGTGGACGCGCACGGCAGTGT